CAGCCTATGACTGTGTGCCACGTCTTTTTGCAGTTTTTTGTTTTTAACGTGCCGTACTTTGACTGGCAAGTTATACCAATACCAAATCCTAATTGTTGAATACTTATATTTAATGTATTAGAGAACTCAGTATGAGTGGTTGCAAACTGAAAAACACGTATTTGAAATAGTTTTTTATCTATGGAAACTAGCTTTCAACATCATCATCAGAAAAATCTATATTAGTGAGCTGAGAAAGCTGTTGCATCATTTTGACTGACTGTTTGGGCTTGTTTGAACAATTTTGGAAAATGGTCAGGACGATTGCACAAATAACACCGTTAGATCATTTGCCTTGGCGTTTCTTTTTCTGAAGAAACTAACGGTATTTGAATCATTGGAATTGCGCCTAATAGGAGCATTAGGTGGAAAATATTTGATGCATCTAGAATGAAACTTCTTTTTGGTAGGACAAGAACATGAGCGATCTGATTTGCATTTGATCTGTAATCTGTCACTGACAAACCTTTGTCAACTGCTTAAATGCTTCAGATAATCATCAAAAAATTATTTTTGAGAACAGAGCTTTTCCAAGCAAAATGAAAACTATAAAAATTTCTCTAAGAGTGTGAACCAGGTTGTTTGCTTTGAGACTCATAAGCTTGGTTCTTCATGACTTAGGGATTCTGGATAGAAGCTAAAAATGCTTGCTTATGTTAGGATCATCCATACCTTTATAGATGATATCATTTTACCATTTATTTATAGTCTATCAAGATCTTTCTTTTTGAGAGAACAACATCGCATCTTAAAATATTATTCTCTGACCTAGTCCCTAAAGGTGAGGTCATCCACAAAATTCATCATAGAGGAGATATATCCTTGATTAATATCTAGCATTTGGATAACAAATTTTGTCTGTACTCTTGAATACTAATCCACCAATCACGAAAAATTCCACCAAATCTAGCTGTAAACTGTGTAAGTACAGTAGAGACTTGGGCATAGGTTTAAGCATCTCAGCTTGTAACCAGGCCTAAAATTCATACATCCGTTTCTCCATTTATGTGGAGGAAATCATCAAGAACAGTAAAGTGTGGAGCTTGGTTGAAACTGTATAAAGTCACACTCAGCTGTATTTGACGGATTGGCGATACATAGGCGGAGAGTCTGGAAGTAAATCATCACCTTCCAATCTCATCATCAACTTCAGAGACACAGTGGTCTTGAAGATTCAGGTTGATGGGTCATTAATTGGGATACACATCGAGATGTTGATTAAAAGTATCACCTTCAGAATCAAAGCTACTATCAAATGATTTAAATCTGCACCAACAATCTGTAATTGAACTTTAAGAACTTTGAAACAATGAACATCAGAGGAGACTATTGAAATAAGAACAGTCATAATGACTGTTCCAGTATTCAAAGTTGTCTGTGTTGTTCCTATGCAAGCATGCTGATTTTGGACAAATCTGATGTCTAACAGAGCGATTCGAATGGAAATTGGGAGTCCTTTTCTGCCATGGTAAGATAGAGCAGCCTGATAGCACCAAAGTGTACATGAGAGTATCCTTCACGAATCCATTGGACAATGGATTCTTGAGGATCTCCAAAGTAACATATTGTTCTTGAGTTTGGGCTGGAATTTGCCATTATCAAAAGTACTAGTTTGGACTTTTTTTGACTGGCTTCTGGAAGGTCTAACAAGAGTTTTAAAGGTTTTAGATAAAAAAGAAGAAGACTGGAAAAGGTTGTATAAGGATTTACAATGGGAGGATAGTATGTTGGATTTTTTTATTTTTGGGATATAAGATATTTCATACAAGCTACTACTTTGAAGAAAATCTAGATAAACTAGTATTTATTGGAGCAATAAACGTAGATAAAGCTGAAGAGGATTCTATAAGCGTGAATTCAACCTCTTAAATGTGTAATACAACTTCAAGTGCAAGAATAGCTCAGACCCATAATAAATTAAGAACATTAAATATAAAACATAACCAGGACTTAAAAAGAGCAATATTGGAGGGGAGTAGTCCCCCTCTCACACAGAAATTGGAACCAATAAGTAACTTAAAGAGCCAATGACCAGGGAGGTAGCCCTCCACTCACACAAAATTGGAATCAATAAGTGTGCTTGCTCTGATACCAAAATGTTACTAGACTTCAGAGATGGTGCCAGAAGATTGGTTATGGAGTTATTCATGTGGGAAACTATGATAGTACCTAATGAAACCAATCAACATAACGATCGGTCGTAATCATGGTCAAGGCCTTCCTCTTATCCCATACATCTTCTAACACATCATCTAAAAGAGTTAGTGAAAATGAAACACATTAAGAATATAAATGAGATAATATATGAGATCTTTTGTGATTCTTACCATTATCAAAATATTACGACACCTTAGTTGAGGGAAGGTTTAGAAATATGAAGAAACATAAAAGAAATGTGTGAGAATAAAATATGAAGAGAGAAATGTGAGAGATTTTTTATAAGAAACAATGTAATACAAGAGATTTTTTCACAATGCGTCCTCCTCCAACGGAAGATAAGAGTCTTTATTTATAGAGAAAATCAAGACATGACTTCAATACACATTAAAGGATATTTAAAACATAGCTTGACATATTTGATTTTTTTTTTTTTTTTTAACATTTATTTGCCTACAATAGTTGACTTTATATCTCATAAGGGAGATATTATACGTGAGTTGGCAACTGTCATTGAGTCCATTCTATTTTACAGATAAACATAAAGGACATAATTTTTATTTTAAGACCGCAGAGCTTAAATCATCAGACAAGTTTGTAATGTGCCACAAGTCTTCATCTTGGAAATCAAGGCAACCCATTGCTTGAATTCATCACAGCAGGAATTTGTTGAGAAGATGAATCTATGTGATTATTCGGAGAAATGTCTGGAGACTGGATGGCTACTTTGCAGAGGTACTGATAAAGCATGTATTGCTATTGCTTAGATTTATGAAGATAGTCTTCATCTTGGAAATCGAGAGGCACCCATTGCTTGAATTCAATCAGCAGGAATTTTTTGAGAAGATGAATCTATATGATTATTCGGAGAAATGTCTGGAGACTGAGATGGCTGCTTTGCAGAGGTACTTGGTGAATGCATGTATTGCTATTGCTTGGATTTATGAAGATAGTAATCACGAGACAACTGAAGCTCTTCTTTATGCACAGTATCTGCTGAGAGTCTGGGTACCACCATTTGGATAATCTGAAGTGGCATTTAATTGAGTAGTGATGGAACGTATGCATGTTTGTTTGGCTTGGAGTAATTTCTTAGTGTAAGCTGGAGGAAAGATTTCCCACGGGGCATTATCGCGCAAGATGGCCATATCTCATTTGGAATTATCTGATTTTTCTAAAAAAATGATTTTCTAATTGACCTAATCTCAACAGGATGGTCAAAATATTATTGACAGATCATATGGATAAGATGTGATTAAATGTGACTTGATGTTGTGAAAAATATAGGTCATCGGATCTGATGGATGATGTCTATGAAAACATGATGACCATGCCATTTTGGTGGACATAGACCTCTATATCGGGCAAGTTGATGAGCAAACAGAGATTTCTATTTTTTATGGTTTTGAACCATTTGAGAAAAGTCATCAAAGAGTGTAACTTAGAGGTTGAGATGACTGATACCGGAAATCATTTTCAACATTTAATGGACCGGGGAATTGATTGCATGTGGTACTGGTGTAACATACCAAAAGAACCGTAATGGTTTTTTCGGAAATATAATATCTGGACCCAGAGGTACACAAAATGATTTTTGAAAAAGGGTATCTGGATGGACACCTAACATATCTACATGATTGTCCTATTTTTCATACATTGAATTTGATAAGAAAACATGAGGGTAGTGGCATTTTCATCAATGGTACGAGTTCGAACAAGGTCATCACATTCAAGAGATGTGTTTGGCATATGGTCTGGTACACAGAACTAGACTGGGTTAGTGGTTGATACATGAAATAGGAAGTGGTTTAGACCTAGGGTTCATGAACACACTTGTTTAGTTTGGCCTGGATAAATAATATGTAATGGTATTGGTGTGATCTTTGATGTGCATGCTGACGACGAAAGAATACTTGCTGAACCATTCTACCCATCGAAGTATTATTGATGTGGAACATTTTTCTTGTTGAATCAGAGCTTTGATCAAAGGACTTCATATTTGTTTCAAAAAAAAGTGATGTCCACACAAGATGGAATTCAACCTTTCAATAACATTTTTTTATTGCTAATACTTCCTTGAAGTAGAATGATAATGATGTTGATGTGGTTTGAATTGTCCACTCTGATTCCACACAAATGTCTTACTTTGTCATATCTTGTTCAAAAGCACTGTACCCCATGAGTGTCACTAACATCTATCTAAAGAATTCATTTCCTAGAAGAGGGAATCTTCAATGGCTGTGTATGGAAGGATTTGCATTTAAGACTCTTGACTGCATTGGTTTGCTTGTCAGATCATGAAGGAGGATTTTTCTTAAGCATCTAGGAAAGTGGAGAAGTGAGTTGAGAAATGTTGGGAATGAAATTGTGCACGTATTGGCAATCTCCCAAGATTGTTGTATTCTTTTCGAGTTGTGAGAATGTCTGGGAACTTCTGTATTCATTAGCAATATGAGGCTGGAAGTCATATTTGCCATCAGCAATAACCAAACCAAGAAAATCAATCTTTGTCTGACCTAGCTGCATTTTCTTTTTAGAGAGCATAGTACCAAGATGTAGGATATCAATAAATTTGCGAAGAAGATGCATATGAATTCCTCATCTTTTGAGAGAGGAGAATATCATCGATATAAATGAACATGTATGAAGAAGAGGATCATCTGACCACCCTTATTAGAACCCAGGTGAATCGAATTCAAGACCTTTTAAGTAATACACCCAAAATTCTTAGACTCCTAGTTTACCGGTGAGTCACCCAATAGTAAAACACGCAAATATATTTGCAGATGCAGTCATGGCTACTCTGTATTTACATGATTAATCTGATCATTAACATCTTACCATCGTTAACAGCGCAAAATGACTGATTCATCATCAGTAAATTAAAGACTAATTTACATCACCAAAAGGAAGATTCATCTGTACATACTTTTGTCCTGCGAAAATTCAAAACCCCAACATCGCATGGAAGATTATTCCCATGAAATAAAATTAAGTTCATCTGTGCACCAAAAACAGCCAACCTATAAACCACTAACTGCTACATTCCAATTGTCTTGCTTTGATTTATTTGAGATAAACGATCAATTCTACGTGTGAGCCCTTGCACTTAGGCTCAACATGTGGTGATTGGTAAGGCTAAAGAGAGGTTCAGATTGGCATTTTCAACAGGCAGAAGGAGAAGGAGGTTTAAGGATTCAGTTGCACATACTCTTTCAACAGCAATGCAAAAAACGAGAACTGAAGCAACATGGATGACAAGAGGAGCAAGTGACACAGCAGCAGGCAGAAGATGTTGAAGCTATTTTATCAGCCAGCTGCTTGTTTGGGTTCTTCTCAACCTCTGGTTTAGCAGAACTGCCTCCTGGTCCCTCTGTTAAACTGCAGTAATCCAAGGCAAATCAAATCAATGAATTTTAAGAGCGGTAGAACTGCCGTAAAAAAAAAAAAGCGTATGTGTATAGAAGTTATATGGACAAACATGAACATCTAAAACTCACAATGCAAAAATATAAAAAATAAATCAGGACTTTATTATTATGTTTTCCATCAATGCTAGACGCATAGTTAATATAGGTTTGAGAGAGAGTGAGAATCATACGTGGTAGGAATGGAAGAGTGACAGCACCATCTTTTTTAGGCTACAGTTCCAACAGTAGCAGAACGCCCAGCTACAGTCAGAACAGTAGCAGCTTGGCCACAATAAGTAGCAGCTTGGCAATGAACAGTAGCAGAACGTGCAGCTACAATCAGAACTGTAGCACGATGGCCATGCACACCTCTTCCCTCTACACGATCTGCAACAAGGAGAAGCTACACCTGCACTTTCGTTGTTGTTGTTCTCCACTCTGCAATTCATCCACCGGACACTAGGTTTGGGAACTTCCATTACATTTATAATATGCATATAATGTGAGTAAGTTGGAAGATCGGTTTTCATGCACAAATATTCGCATCAATGCAGGGCACTGTGGACTTATATACACAAAAAGTCCATGAACATATATTAAATGTCGACAAAGTGTGCATATAAAAGTAACATGACAGGAAGAACAAAATTTTTCTCTTGAATGTTTGCTACTTAATGCAAAGTTCATCTGTCGGTATGTACGCTGAACCACCATGTATATAAGTTGAGCACATGAAAGTAGAAAAAATTATGTAAAAGTATAAAAGTGTTTGCAGAAGTAATGATATTCACTTACATTGGAAAAGCAAATGAGCGAGCACTCTCATTTGAATGGGTGGAGAAATTAAAAGAACTCCGCGCTCCTTTGGCAGGTGGTCCCTTTTCCATACTTTGATCTACTGCGGTATCTATTGTTGAAACCTTGATGCTGTCATCTGACTCTCCAATTTCTTCACTCTTCTCCAATTCTAGACTCTTTCCCTCAGTTTCCTCCACTGGAGCAGGAGATATTGGGCTAAACGTAACAAATTCACCTGACTTGGAAAGTTCTCCAGACTTCAACACTTCTCCTCCCAACATAAAAACATGGTCTTTTGAGAAACTGTTATTGCCTATGTGAAGGCTAAACAGCGACTCATTAGAAGCAGCACTCCAATCCAGGGGTGTTGAGGATTTTCTTTCAAACACAGTTGATGGGATTCTAAGAGGATCATATCCTCCTGAACGGTCCATCACTTGGAGTGGAGGGGATTGTGTTGATGGCAAATCATATACCGATGATTCATGGGTTACCTGAGAAGCTGGAGATGTCGAAGAGGGAACTGGAGACCCATTGTCAAGTTCTTTTGATCTTGAAGAGTTGCCAGTACTGGAAACATGTTTTGGTGCCGATTGAGCATCCAATTCTGGTTTGGAGGAGGAAGTAGTATAGGTTCCGGATTTGCTAGGTCCTTCTGAATCCACTGAGGGGAGATCTAATGATATTGCTGATGTAAACGAAGAAGAGAGCGGTCTTAAGTTTATATTCGTTTCTTTTGAAGTAGTCTCTGGATGCATTACCGTATATTTTTACTGCTATCAAAACTGTCAATAACAGCTGGATGTGTTTCTGGATGCTTACTGCAGCCACTCCCATCAACAGCTATCTTGAAATTATTTCTCTAATTCTGTTTCAATCACTAACCTTTGGGTCTATATATCTGTATACTCATTGGCTCCTGTCCTAATAATTAATTACTTGAGGATGAGTTTCTGAATGCTGAATGTTTTCACTTCTGTCAAAAAGTATATTCTGATGTTTACTGGTTTGATCAAATTGATGTCCCTTGGATAACTGTCTTGATGCTTACTGCCTCCAGTGTCATCTATGATCTCTACATGTATTCTTAACAGTTTATATATGCTTCTTCTCCCATCTCCTGATCTCTTGACTGAAAACTGAAAAGTATTAATAGGATTCAGATTCAAAATGCCTTAAAAATTCAACAACTAGCATAGCAAAAATTCTTATGTGTTAAGAATAAAGCTTACTTTAAAAAACACGGGAAAGACATTAAATTAGTTGCTGAAAAGATGAAGATTTTTTTTCTGGACTAATTATTTACAATCCAAGCCACAATTTTACATAGAACTCATCATATAATAACTGAAATTAATGGTCGTATATTTGGTGAAGGGGGAAAAATACAGCTATAATTTTCAGAATTCATAACATTAAAAATAAATAGCACAATACAATGTTTAAAGCTGATGCATCTACATTCCAGTTCCTCCAAATGTATAAGTTTTAAGAGGGTATGATTTTATTATTAACAGAAAGGATCTCCAATTTCCCAATACCCATATTTGAATTTGGGTAATTTTTGCAATCTCAAGAGTACTGGCTCCCTACATCTATCTTAACCTCAGATTCCTAATTTCGTGTAGGAAAACTTCCCCATAAATAATTCATAAAGAAAAGAAACATAACCCGCATTCTTCTTCCTTAATTGTTTAAAACCACAGAGACAATGTAATCGTACCAGATAAATTTAGGTTCCTTTAATATGTAATTTTCTATTTTGATCTTTGGTAAGATTCTTCGTATTATTAGTTAACGTAATTAATAAGTTAATGCTAAACCATGTTTGGCACTAATTGATATAAATATAAATTTTTAAAAAAATTCTCATAACATCATGGCCGAAATCAACTCGCCGGAAACGACACCGGCGACCAACACCTCCACCTTGACCCCGCGAATCTATCCATAAATTACTTACCTGTATATTTGAATTTAAAAAATAAAAATAAATAAAGAAACATAAATTAAATTGAATCAGAAAACTTGGTACCTGAAAGGCATAAGATTTGACTAAAAACTACGGAAAACCGAATTTAACGTTCGCAGATGGTAAGGATAACTAGTTCTTCTTCTTGTTGAATTTGAATTTTGAAATTCCGTTCTGTTGAAAGAAGTAGAAGGAGAAGTAGAAGAAGGAGAAGGAGAAGGTGAAGGAGAAGAGGAAGAAAAGAAAATGTAGTAAAAATTGAGAAAATAAAAAAAACAAAATGAGAAAACGAAAATTAGGATTTTTGCTAAGTAAAAAATGGGATGACGGAAGGCGCTGAGAGACTTTCGGCGTTTTTAGTTCTATTTTTGTAACTAACAATGAACGGAGATTCGCGCCATATCCAACTGCTCGCTCTCACTCCGTCATGATAAGAGAAGATCTGATACAGTCAACTATCATCACTTTCTAAAATTCAGCCTATGACTATGTGCCACGTCTTCATTGCAGTTTTTTGTTTTTAACGTGCCGTACTGTGACTGGCAAGTTATACCAAAATACCAAATCCTATATTGTTGAATACTTATTTAATGTATTAGAGAACTCAGTATCAATGGTTGCAAACTGAAAAATAGTGTTTGAAATAGGTTCTTCATCCATGGAAAACTAGCTTTCAACATCATCATCAGAAAAATCTATATCAGTGAGCTGAAAAAGCGGTTGCATCATTTTGACTGACTGTTTGGGTTTGGACAATTTTTGGAAAATGGTCAGGACGGTTGCACAAATAACACCGATTAGATCATTTGCCTCGACGTTTCTTTTTCCGAAGAAACTAACGGTACTTGAATCGTCAAAATTTGCGCCTAATAGGAGCATTAGGTGGAAAATATTTGATGCATCTAGAATGAAACTTCTTTTTGGTAGGACAAGAACATGAGTGATCTGATTTGCATTTGATCTGCAAGTTTGGTCGCTGACAAACCTTTGTCAACTGCTTATAATGCTTCAGATAATCATCAAAAAATTGTTTTTGAGAATAGAGTTTTTCCAAGGCAAGAATGACAAACTAATAAATTTCTCTAAGAGAGTTTGCTTTGAGACTGCATAAGCTTGGTTGCTTCATGACTTAGGGATTCTGGAATAGAAGCTAAAAAGGCTTGCTTTATGTTAGGATCATCCATACCTCTAATATATGATATCATTTTACCATTTCTTTATAATGTCTATCAAGATCTTTCTTTTTGAGAGAACAACATCGCATCTTAAAATATCATTCTTTGACCTAGTCCTCATAAAGGTGAGGTAATCCACAAAATTCATCATAGAGGAGATATATAGCTTGATTAATATCTAGCATTTGGATAAACAAATTTTGTCTGTACTCTTAAAGACTAATCTACCAATCACGAAAAATTCCACCAAATCTAGCTGTAAACTGCATAAGTACAGTAGAGACTTAGACATTAGGTTTAAGCATCTCAGCTTGTAACCAGGCCTGAAATTCATACATCCAATTTCTCCATTTATGTGGAGGAAGATCATCAAACAGTAAAAGTGTGGAGCTTGGTTGAAACTGTATAAGAGTCACACTCAGCTGTATTATGACGGGATTGGCGATACATAGGCGGAGAGTCTAGAATGAAATCATCACCTTCAAGCATCTCATCATCAACTTCAGAGACAACAGGTGGTCTTGAAGATTCGGGTTGGTGGGTCATTAATTGGGGATAAACATCGAGATGTTGATCAGAAGTATCACCTTCAGAATCAAAACTACTATCAAATGATTTAAATCTGCACCAACAATCTGTAATTGAACTTTAAGAACTTTGGAACAATGAACATCAGAGAGAGACATATTGAAATTAGGAAACAGTGTCATAATGACTGTTCTAGCATTCAAAGTTGTTTGTGTTGTTCCTATGCAATCATGTTGATTTTGGACAAATCTGATGTCTAACATAGCGATTCGAATGGAAACTGGGAGTTCTTTTCGACCATGGTAAGATAGAGCAAGCCTGATAGCACTAAAGTGTACATGAGAGTATCCTTCACGAATCCATTGGACAATGGATTCTTGAGGGATCTCCAAAGTAACATATTGTTCTTGAGTTGTGGCTGGAATTTGCAATTTATCAAAAGTACTAGTCTGGACATACTCTTTGACTGGCTTTCTGGAAGGTCTAACAAGAGTTTTAAAGGTTTTAGATAAAAAAGAAGAAGACTTGGAAAAGGTTGTATAAGGATTTACAATGGGAGGGATAGTATGTCGGATTTTTTGATTTTCTGGGATATAAGATATTTCATACAAGCTATCTACTTTAGAAGAAAATCTAGATAAATTAGTATTTATTGGAGCAATAAACGTAGATAAAGCTAAAGAGGATTCCATAAGCGTGAATTCAACCTCTTAAATGTGTAATACAACTTCAAGTAGTAAGAATAGCTCAAGACCTATAATAAATTAAGAACATTAAATATAAAACATAACGAGGACTTAAAAGAGGCAATATTCGAGGGGAGGTAGTCCTCCGCTCACACAGAAATTGGAACCAATACGTAACTTAAAGAAGCCAATGACCGAGGGGAGGTAGTCCTCCACTCACACAAAAATTGGAATCAATAAGTGTGCAGGCTCTGATACCAAAAGGGTTACTAGACCTCGAAGATGGTGCCAGAAGATTGGTTATGGAGTTTATGTATGTGGGAAACTATGATAGTAGACCTCTATGAAACCAATCAACATATCGATCGGTCGAAATCATGGTCAAGACCCCCCTCTTATCCCACACACAATTACACCCACACATCTTCTAACATCATCTAAAAGAGCTAGTGAAAATGAAACACATTAAGAACATAAATGAAGATAATATATGAGATCTTTTGCGATTCTTACCATTATCAAAATATTATGACACCCTTGAGGTTGAGGGAAGGTTTAGAAATATGAAGGAAACATGAAAGAAATGTGTGAGAATAAAATATGAAGAGAGAAATGTAAGAGATTTTTTATAAGAGAACAATGTAATATAAGAGATTTTTTCACAATGCGTCCTCCTCCAACGGGAAGATAAGAGTCTTTATTTATAGAGAAATACAAGACATGACATTCAATACACATTAAAGGGATATTTAAAACATGGCTTGACATATTTGATTTTTTTTTTTTTNGAGAGAGAGAGAGAGAGAGAGAGAGAGAGAGAGAGAGAGAGAGAGAGAGAGAGAGATGGTGCCAGAAGATTATGGAGTTTATGCATGTTGAGAAACTATGATAACCGATTTACATGGAAGTCGATCAATGCAACGATCGGTCGAATCTATGGTCAAGGCTCTCCTCTTATCCCACACACACTTACACCCACACACCTTCTAACATCATCTAAAAGGGCTAGTGGAAATAAAGGCGCATTAGAAACACAAATAAAGATAATATATGAGATCTTTTGCTATTCTTAACATTATTAGAATATTACTACACCTTTGAGGTTGAAGGAATGTTTAAAAGTATGAAGAAAACATGAAAAAAATGTGCAAGAGAGAAATATGCAAGAGAGAAATGTAAGAGATTTTACACAAGAGAACAATGTAAGAGCAAGAGAAATATACAAGAGAAATTACACAATGTCTCATTCCTCCAACGGGAAGAAAACTCTCTTTATTCATAGAGAAATACAAGAGATCATATTTAATACACATTTAAGAGACATTTAATACATGGCTTGACATATTTGATTTTTTGGATTTTTTTTTTTTATTAACCTTGCCTACAATATTTGACTCTTGTATTTTACACGAGAGATCTTGCACTTAAGTTGGCAAATTATC